GACGCGGGGAGCCCTGACTGCAGTCCAGGGAGTGGCTGGGCTTCGGGCCCCAGAAGCCCCGCAACGTCTGTGGTTGAGACCAGAAGTGAGAAATCTGGAGACGGACACCATGACGAACAGGTGTGCTGAATTTCATCCGATTCTTGCATTCAGAAGTGGGGAATGCAGGGCTTTGTTTTTGTTTTTTAATGTGAAGCTTCTTCTACTTGTCCTGTGGAAGTTATTTTCTTGAGAAGGTGTAAAACCAGGCCGTTGGCGACAGAGCCACATCCGGGGGGCTGGTAAACACTTTGGGGCTGAGTGCCTCTGAGCCGTCTCCACAGCGGGGTGGCAGGAGGGGGTGGGGGGCTCAGGAATCGTGAAGGAAGAGGGGACAGGAGTCACTCATCTGTCACTGTTACTACAGAATGTATGCGGGGGTAGCAGCTGGCTTTGGGGGTCTCTGAGCCCCTTCCCACCTACCATCCCAGCTTCAGATGTCCTGCCATGTGTGGTCTTTACAGTTCGCCTTTTATGAGGTGTTTTTAGTAGGATGTTCCTGCTTAAAGTGAAGGAGGCCGTGGAAGGACAGGGGTGCCCACACACCCCCTGCTAAGCTCGGAGGGGCTGTTGGTAGCACAGGACCTGGGTCTGGATGACACCATGCTTCTCCCCAGGAACCATCTCTGTTTCCTCCAGTTTTCACTCTGGACCACTCTTGGGGGGGAGGGAGGGGGAGTATGTGTAGCCCCAAAGAGAGTAAAGCCTCGCACTTTCCAGTCGTTAGCGTTTGAAAAAGCAGTCTGTTTTCATGGACTGGTTCACCCAGAGTTCAAAGTGAAGGGCTTCTGTCACCCAGGGCTGCCGGCCTCAGCTAGTGGCGCCCTGGGGGCCGGTTCCTGCCATCCTGTGCCCGGGCCCCCAGGAGCTGCTCTGAGCACATCTCGAGTCCCGGCGTTAGCATTTGTACTAGAGGGCCTGTCATCAGTCCGTGTGGACCACCCGTCCTCCATCTGTGGCCACAGGACCCCCAGGAACCCCAAGACCCTCCTGGGGGTCAGTGAGGCAGGACTTCCTCCTTGTACCTCAGCCACATGTCCCGCCGGTGCAGGTGAAGCAGAGGGGAGGCCACTGGGAGTAAAGAGGTGAGCACTGTGTAAAGTGTGGCAACGGGAAGTTATTTTGTTACATGTGTTAACATGTGGTGAGTTTATTTTTTAATGAATAAATATTTAACATCTTCAAGTTTTAATTTCAAATACGGTAAGGACTGGTAGACGTCATCCACACAGAGCTCTTTGGGGTAATTGGTCATGTTGGGGTACAGAGCAGCCCTGGGACCAAAGCCCTTGAGGGCGGCTGATCTCCGAGCAGGAGGGAGGGCCTGGGGAGGAAGCTCTGCCAGTCTGGACACGTGGGGACGGGGGGACACTTCTGGTGCTGGCACCTCAGCAGGGACGCAGCAGGGCCCAGGGCACAGGGCACGCCGACCACAGCCTGAGAGCAGGTGGTTCCCTTTGAAAGAAAGGTGGGAGCTTCTATACAGTTTCCCACAGCTGAAGTCTGTCTTACCCTTGTTTGTGCTGAACTTTTTAGTTTGACATTAGATCAGAAGATTCATGCCTATCAGACAACATAAAGGGTTCTACATGCTGTCTCAGACCAGAAGAAATAAAATCCAGAGCAGGTAAAGATCTGAACAGAAAAATCTTAGAAGAAAAACATTTTTAGAATACTGGAGAGAAGACCTTCCTAATCAATGGGAAGCTTAGAAGCCATAAAGGAAAAAGATTGCGACAATATTTGATGACATAAAAATAAAAAAAATTTATATCATCTACAGAGAAACTCACACCAAAGTTTAAAGAAGTGACAGACCAGGAGAAAATATTTGCAACGCATGTAGCAGATAAAGATTTATAGCCATAATATGTAAAGACTGCTTACAAATAAAATAAATGAGAAAACTACAAATAAACTAATATTATGAAAAAGAAAGATACAAATTTACCAGTAATCATAGGGAAAGATCACAATCACTAGTAACCAGGGAAATACAAATTAAAACAAGATACATGTTTTTGCCCATTAGATTAGTACACATGGAAAGGACCGAGGGTCTGGGGCCATGAGGCAGGAGACACCCTGCCCTCTCCTTGACAAGAGGAGCATTTACAAGGTTGTATCAGTTTTTGGAATTTTTTCATAGGGATGCTTACAAATGTGGGTCACACACAATCTTTTGGTCATGGTAGAAAAAAAAACAAAACCCAACCATGTAACACCCATCGCTTGGAGAATGCACGTCCCAGTGTTCTGTGTTTAGGAACTGGCAGCACCACAGGGGAATGATGTTGGTTCACGTATTTTCTTGTTTAAAGGTGTCTGTGATGTATTGAGTGGAAAAAAGAACAATATATTTGTACAGTGATTCCATTCATTAAAAAGAAGAAAGCCCTTATTCAACAGGCAACACACAGATACACACAACGGGTGAATTGTGCCCCAGACGGCGTGGGCGTGGGGGTCGCAGTGAGAGCTGCTGGCCTGTGCAGGGGAACTTATACATTATACACTATTTCCATCTATGTTCTTTGAATTTTAAAGAAGTCTTCATTATTTTTATAATAAAAATGCTTTTCAAATGAAACACATATATACCCTCAAATGTGCATAGAATTATGAAAATGTAATTTGATTGTTTTGCTGCAAATGGTCATCCGCATAGCCTTCCATATTCAGGAAAAGATGACCTAGAATGACATCCTCCCAGTGAAGAATTAACACGCAAAGATGTGTGCGGGGCCCCTCGTCGTAATCGTCATCCAAAAAGCAAAGCAGTTTTCTTAAGAAGAGGAAACATTTGTCAATTCCAGGGCACGATTTAACCTGAAAGGCAAGTTTTGAATACTCTGCTGTTCATTCACAAAATAAAAATAAAAGTTGGTAAAACAAAGCATTATTTTGGGTTCAGTCTTCATGCTGCATTAGTCGCCCTTGACTCCCTGCTTCCTATCTGCTTGTCCCTGGAGCAGGGGTCCGTGGGTTGGTGGCTCACCCTCCATTCATCTCCTGAGATGCCCCCTTGTGCTTGGCAGCCAGGGTGGGCCTCACCCCTGCCTGCGGGAGCCGTCCTCTAGGTGGGCACCTGTGCAGTGGGCTCCAGAGCCTGTCCTCAGTCCACCTCTTCATGATGACGCTGGGCCCACCCATGCCTGATGCCAGGAACACAAGGTGATGAAGGCAGGTCCCTCATCGCTTATGCACACAGCCTCATCCTGTGTCGTCGATGACGAGGTTTGGGGTCCAGATGCGTGGGCACCTTGTGACACAGGGTGTCCTGGACACGGGACAGTTGTCTGCAAAGGCAGGGGGTTGTGAAGACGTGTTTCTCCCTCACAGGTGTGTCACACACCCCATAGCGCATGAGGATAAACGAGGTCACGCTGGTATCTCTACTCCAGCTGCAAAGTCCCAGCCTAGACCCTCCGACAGAGAGTGATTTCAGTTTCCAGGAGACTCCACCTTGAAGATTCTGATCGTCCCTGGGAGGTACTTGGGTGGCTCCCTGGGGGCTTCCTCCCCAGAGGAAGTACAAGCGCAATCTCCTGCCCATCAGTCACGAGGCCTCTGGGCATCCAGAGCAGAAAACTATGGTGGGGAGCCTAACGTGTGGGCCCAGCGGCCCCACCCCTCCTGCTGCTGGGGCTTTGCCTCCGGCACCTGCTCAGCCTCCAGCCAGGGATGCGTCCAGCACACCCGCCTGGGCCCTGCTGCTCCCCACGGGGGGCTGTGGGGTCCTCAGGCCTCACACTCATCTGTTCTGCAGCGCACCCCCTCCCCTGCCTGGGGCCACTGGCCTTCCCGCCCGGTCCAGCAGGCATGTTTGTCAGTCTTTGTCCATCAGGTGTGCAGGGTGGAGGGCTGGGGTGGAGGATGGCTCCACAGGGTGGAGCAGGACACAGTGGGACCCAGGAAGACTCTCCCTCTACCCCAACGGGGTGGATGTGGGGCGGCACCCAGCCCCTGCCTGCGTTGCGCAGGTGTGAGCCTGCACTTGAGAGCAGCGTACCCACTGGCCGGTGGCCTGAGCCCTGCTGCAGCAAGAGGGTGTGCCGTGCGTGCATGTGTGTGTGTACGTGTGTGCACATTCGTGTGCCCGTGTCCACACGTGTGTGCGTCCCAGGCAGCACCACCGCAGACAGGGCTGTCCCCCTCTTGCCCTTCCTGCACTGTGCCTGCCCCCTGCACAGCCACCTCCGCTCCAAGTGTGGGGAGAACAGGGCAGCACTCGGCCCGGCAGGAGCGGGAAGTCTGGACTGACCTTGGCCCTGGGCTCCGCTTCCCCTGAGAAGCCAAGGGCTGGCACCCTCTCCTCGAACTGCCCGTGAAGGTGCCCAGTGGGGAGCACGTGGTAGCGGTTTAGACGGGCTTCTGTAACGGTGTGGTCAGAACCCAGTGGTGCCACAGGACTGGAGACCATGGAGATGCGTCTCCTCAATCACCTCCCCTGGTGGGGCCTTCTCAGAGTGGAGCTGGGGCTCTTTGTCAGCGTGTTTTCCCTCCAGTGTGCTACACGGCCCCTGCGTGGAGGTGCTTTGGGAATCATACTTTCCACCCCCCTGGGGGTTGGGGGATCTGGCAGGGATGGGGCCCCAGAGCTTCTTGTGTCCCAGGAGATGGCACCCAGGAGCTGCCTGCCCTGGGGAAGGTCCCTGTGTGGTGGCTGCCCATGCTGTGCACACGGGGCTGGACCTGGTGTCCTGTGTGACGCCGGCCCATCACAACGCAGCCCTTTGGGAGGTCCCATGGGGCCAGTGGGACACGCTCGACCAGGCCTTTCTCAGGACAGAACCGCAAAGATGAGGTCTGTCCATGCAGCTGGGCCTCCCTCCGTCATCTGCTAGCCACACAGTGGGGCTCTCGGGTAGCAGGCCTGGGGGAAGTCGTTTCTGTCCCAGGAGGGTCTGGGGAGCAGGGTGGCCCTGGGCCTGGCTGACGCACTCTCCTCTTCGTCACAGCGGAGCTGGAGTTCGCCCAGGTGGTCGTCGTGGTGGTGGTGGTCACGGTGATGGTCGTGGTTGTCGTCTGCCTGCTGAACCACTACAGAGTCTCCACCCGGTCCTTTATCCACCACTCGGGGCAGGGCCGGAGGCAGGACCGGCCGCAGCCGGTAAGTGTGGGCTGAGTGGGGCCGGGAGCCTGGGTGCAGGATGGCCCTGGGCTCGGCATGTGAATCCCACACACAGAAAGCCCAGTCCGGGGGCCCGACCGTGAGGCCAGTCCCCCACCCCCACCCCCCAACACAGTCACCACTGCCTGGACGGCAGTCAGCACACTCATTTCTCCTGCTCTGAACTCTATGGACCGTGCAGTCCCTGCCCTTTCACATCTGGCTTCCTTCCCTCAGTGTCATACGTGTGAATTCCATCCATGCTGGGACATGGTCCAGGGTCAGCGACGCATCCTGCATCCCCACCTACGCCCATGAGACGGGGGCTCAGCGGGGCAGGACAGGGAGGGGGTTGGACCCTCTGGGGCACAAGGGTGGGCAGGTTGTGTGGGCCTCACAGAACAGCAAGGCTCTTCAGGTTGGTTTAAAAAAAAAAAAAATTCCTAGCTACTTCCTGCCCTGAATCACCACCCTCTTCTGGGAAATAAAACACTGATATTCAGCTAAACTGCTCTATGATCTAACGCAGGAGCCCAGGGGCCATGGAAGGTTCAGGTCCAAGCTGGCTTTGCTGTCTGTGGTTCCAGTGGCTGTCAGTGAGAGCTTGGGGACACTGAGTTTAAACAATCGTATATTCTTGTCTTCTGTGGTGGATGGAGGAGGCTGAATCCCCAAGCATGTTGGGACCAGGGCTGCCTGGTGACTGGCCTAGGGAGGCTGCCCTGAGTGTGGGGGCAGCTGTCCTGGGGTGACCCCCTCACACTTCATCGGGGACAGAGTCGCTCGGCCAGCCTTCGGGTCTGCTGTCCCCATGGGTAGAGCTGAGGTTTGCCCAGTGTCCTGTGTCCATGGCAGGCAGAGCTGGGGGGAAGGGTGAGGCTGCTGTGTGCCGCCCCCAGACCCACAGGGACGAGATGGGTGCTGGGGGCTGCAGCTCAGCCCTGAGGAAGACGCTCTCTCCCTCTGGCTTCCCCTCATCCTCCGCCGTCCCCTCCCTGCTGTTTCCTCCGTGCAGCCCGGCCCGTGCAGGGCAGGTGTGTCCCGAGGCTTGGGTTTTCCTTCTGATAAAATGGGAGTGTGGATACTGCTCACCGAGGTTTCACAAACTCATGATGTACTTTTACACGGTGACCAGAGACAGTTTAGGCGCAGGCCGGACCTCCATTTCATGTCTAGTCCAGAGGAGAAGCCTCACTCTCCTGGACAGGGACATAGATCCAGATCCCAGGAGCACTGGGGGTCACTGCCTGGGAACGTGCCCCCCACCGGGCTGGGCTTCTTGCCTCCTAAGTATCTCCTCCTCGCTCTCGATTTCTAAAAGATGCTGCTTCCCTTCATCACGCTCTGGGAGAGCAGTGTGATCCTTTCTTTCATACTCATTGTTCCTGTCCAGGGGACCTTCGGCGATGCGGGGAGATGTTTTTGGCTGTCATAGCTTGGGGACGGTGTTGCAGGGATGCTCTGAACGTCCTCAGCTTATGGGGCGGTCCTGCCCTCCTCCCCGGGGGCCCTTCCGCGTGAGACGGGGATGCTGTTAATACACGTGGATCTCATGGTAGGCTCAGGGGCGTCAGCAGAGTGAAGAGAGCCCGTGCTGACAGCTCGGTGGGGGTGGTAGGTGTCCACAGGGAACCTGCCCCATCAGACGGTTTTGGTCTGGGCTCTGCCTTCCTTTGCTCACTCTGTCAATCAGTGGATATGAGCCTGGCACCCACCAGACAAGGAAGAAATGATGCAGCGAGCCCCAGGCTCCCCCCATCAGCAGCGTCCACCTGGCCTGGTGGTATTTTCTCAGTCTCGGGGGAAGCCAAGGGGTCTCCAGGGGCCATTTGTGTGTGGGGAGGGGTGTACATCAGGAGGCCGTAAACTGTAGAAGGGTGTGGGGTGGAGCAGCTTCAAGGTGCCTTTCTGGGTGGCCCCCTGCCCCGCTCCCAGCATCCAACCAGCCTCCTCCCGAGGGGCTTAGAGGGGCAGGCTGCCCGTGGCCTCGTGTGGTTTGTGTTCTCCTAGGGAGAAGGTGGCCGAGGCTGGAGGTGCCTGGGGTCGCCGTTGTCAGGGTGGTTCCGTGTCTGCTGTCAGAGCATCCCAGGAGCTGCTGTGCCTGCTGTTTGGCGGCTGGTGGGTGTGGGGTGCCCCCTGCCGGCCTCACCGTGGATGAGCGTCCATGGCTCTGAGCCTATGCGTTGCTGGGACCCCCACACTTCTGGGGGCCTTTTGGCCCGTTTGTTCCAGAACTGTGTGAGGTCTCCATGACCATGTTAGTAAAAAGTGTGTTTATTTTAAACTGCTATGAGAAGGGCTGGGCATCTAATTTGTCAGCTTCCAGGTGATCTGGCTTAACACTATTGGTTAAGGTTACTTTTATGTGTTTCCTATGGAAGACTTGATAGTCAAGATGGAAAAATATAGGACAGTAGTTGGGATTTTTTTTTTTTTTTTTTTTGGCTGTGTCGGGTCTCAGTTGCGGCACACAGGGATCTTCGTTGCGGCACGCGGGCTTCTCTAGTTGTGACACATGGGCTCTAGAGTACGTGGGCTCTACAGTTGTGGTGCGCTGGCTTAGTTGCCCCACAGCATGTGGGATCTTAGTTCCCTGTCCAGGGATCGAACCCATGTTCCCTGTGTTGGAAGGCGGATTCTTAACCACTGGACCACCAGGGAAGTCCCTGGCTTTTGTTCTTGAGAAAGAGGCTGAACATGTAGATGTTCTGACGTGGTTGAGGAAACTTGACTCCCTCTCTGCACTAACGGGCTTTCCCTGGTTCCCAGGGAGAGTCCTCTGGAAAAAGGTGGGTTGGACCAGTTGCCCCTTTGGGCCCAGCTTGCTCTGATTTGGGGGGTTTGCTTTGTGCAGTCACAGCCCCTTCCTCACGTGGCCCTTTCCACCTCCATTGCCTGTGGGCAGACACACTTCTGTGCCAAGGGAGGGACGGATGGAGTCTGTGTTGGCCGAGGCCAGTCAGCCTGCATCACCACAGCGTCCCTGAGACGCCTTTCCAGGGGAGCAGGGCGGTGGGATGGACCGGCCCTGAATTTGGTGGAAGCAGCCACTTCTGGATGAAAATGAAAAAGAGTGATCCGCTTCAGTTAAGTTACAACAAAAGTAAATGCTTAAATAGTAGCAGCAGCAGTGAGTGGGTTTGTGATAAAAAGCCGTACGTGTTCTTTCTGAGGGAGCCTTGCCTTAGTGTTTAGAGCCTGGCTTATGTGAGTTCGGCACTTTGAGACTGTCTAGGTTTCTTTTCATCATCTTAGACCACCAAGTAATAGGAAAACAATAAAAGGGCATAAATATTCCAGACACAGCCCTGAGAGATGTTCACACACGTCGCTGGAGCCTTTCTTTCCCGAGCCAGGGGAGGCCCGCATGGCCTTTTCTGACAGCCTTGCCTGTAGGCCACCCCGCAGGGCCCACCAACCTGCCTGGACGGCGGGCAAGGCGGAGGTGGCCGCCCATCTACTAGGAACAGCAGAAGGATGGGAACGTTCTACTTAGTTTGAATCATATAAAATTGTGGGTGTTCAGCCATTTTGACCTATAAAAGCAGCAATTTCAATTTTAAAAATTAACAAAAGGAGTCACATCAGGCATTTTTCTTCATGACCAAATGCTGCAGGAGTTAAATCAATTGTAAAAGTGCGGTGCCCGGCCTCCCTGGAGCCAGAGCAGCGCCTCGCGGGCAGTGGGTGCACCAGCCCCGCGGGGAGGGACGGGTCTGTGGTGCAGAAACTCAGGTGTGGGGGAAGTCCAGGCCCCAAGACCCTCCCTGCAGATGGCCAGACCTGGGCGAGGGTGTGGCCAGTGTGTGTGTGGTTCCCCCCGCAGGGTGTTTTGACAAAACTTGATCCAACTTGAAAAAACTGGGAGATTTCACGTAAAAATAGAAATTTACATCTTTCCTTGAAAAGTGAGCATATCAGCCATACTGGCCTGTATTCCCGCTTGGCTCCCCCAGGCCAGGGCTGCCAAGCAGCCTGTGCTCACCTTCCGCTGTGGTCCCAGCCCCTGCACGGGCCTCAGAGGTGGGCCGGTTTGCACAGAGGTGATTGTTTTTGGAGCAAACATTCTTCTGCATTCATGCCTCTACCACAAAGGTGAAAACAGAGATGGACCAAGGGGGCCACTTGCTTCCGAAAAATGGGGAAACTTCTTTGTGGAAGTAAAGATCATTCCTATGAGATGAGTGGTTCGGCCAGGTGAGGTGAGTCTGGGTCACAGGACGGTGTGTCCCGGGCCTGCTGACCAGTCCCATGCTCGGATCAGGGCCCTCCTCTCTGTGATTGGGTCTGGGCTCCTCTCCACTGGCCCGGACGCCTTGCGAACCAGGGCCGGCAGTTCCGTGCAGGTGTGTCCTGGGGCCCCACACAGCTCACTCCCACTGTGGCTGAGAGCCCGGCAACTGCGCACCTGCCTAGTCTCATTTCTACCTACTTCAGCCTGTGTTAGGAAAGCATTTCTAAAACGATAGGAAGGAACCATTTTCAGGAAGGCGCAAAAAATGAGCTGAGGGCCTGCCTGATAATGCAGGTGGAGCAGGCGAGTCTGTGACAGTCTGAGTGTAGCATCGGCTCGTCCAGGGCGCAGGCTCCCTGCGAGCAGGTGGATTCTTGCTGCACTGTGAGGCTGGGGGGGTTGCTGCCCACCTTGTTTCATGAGCATTTCCAAGTGTCCAGGGGCCACGGGCAGCAGGTCAGGCCTCCTTTAAGCATCAAGCATGGGATCCTACTGTCTACCTCCTGTTTGTCTCAGCAGGAGCGGGGCGTTTGCAGACTGGCCATTTAAAAGGTTTTACCCTTGAAGCATTAGAAGATAAACAATTTTAACAGCTTGAAATGAGAATGTCTCCTTCTGAAGTAAGAGAAAGGAGGCCAAGTTGCTGGTGAAAATTGGATAAGGATCCTGGACCATAGCTGTTACACAGCAGAATCTCCAAGATCTTTAAAGCTAGTAACTTAGATCATCCTTCTGCTGTTGATGTTGCTCAGAAGAGTTTTAAAAT